AACTTTACCAATGTGTGCAGGGCGGTATTCACCGACCCTCTCTTGCAATAAGCATATTGAGCTCTTGAAAGACAGTGACTGATAGGAGAAACATGATAACCATTTCCGGCCTTCGGGATGAACGCAACACTGACTACCCTCCAAGGCTTGGGGATGTACCCGGTCCTCATGCATGGATCCACCATTTGCACGACACCTTCAGAGCCCTTTGCAGCTGCGCGGATATGATGCCATCGTTCCCCGGTGACTTTAATTTTTAATTTAAACGAATTTATCGCCCAGGCCATGTGACGAATGTCCAGAAGAACGGAGAAGAACAAGACTACGGGGGAGATTTGTAAAATAATAGCTAGCGAAAATGCCGTAAGATAGGCGGTTTTGCATTTAGTCCATGGGCGGTTTTTGCAAAAAGATCGACGATATGTACTAAGTGCAGCAAAATAAAAGCTACTGCAATAAAGTATATCGAGCTTTAGACACAATTTCTGAATTTTTCGGAAAATTAAAGCCAAAATGTGTTCTGTCAGTTTCTTTTAATAAAAAAATGGGATCTGATAAGGGAGGTGCCACGCGCTCCCATAGGCGTGATATTTTTAATCAGCTATAACTTGGAAACCGTAAGTCACATGAATTTGAAATTTGGTATGAAGACATGTTTATGGTAGGCGCTTATAGTAAGGTATATATGAATGAGTTTGTACAAGGAGGCGTGACACTTCCCGTAGGCGTGAAAATTTTAATCAGCAATAACTTCGGAACCGTAAGTCACATGACTTTTAAATTTGGTGTGAAGACGGATCTATGATAGATGTTTAAAGTAAAGTATTCATATCATATATATAAATAAGTTTCTAAAAGGGTGCGCGGAACATTTTACAGGCGTCAAATTTTAGTCAGCTATAAATTAGGAACGATAAGTCACAGCGAGGTAAACGTAAATGAGTTTGTATAAGGGGCCGCAGCACATTCCATAGCCGTGAAATCTCACATTTGTTATATATTCGGACCCCTAACTCACATGACTTTGAAATTTGGTGAGAAGATGTATGGTAGATGTATATGTACAAATTAGTTTGTTCAAGAAGTCGTGGCGTTTATAGTAAACTAAAAGAGAGTGAGTGTTTGTCAGGGGCGTAGCACCTCCAATAGATGTAGTGCGTTCAGAAAACCATAACCTTTGACCCATTACAAACATACCACTAAACGGAATGATCTGTTGTAAACTAAACAGGGATGAGAGTTTGAAAAAGTTCATAAGAGAATATCAATTTAAAAATTAAAGCGCATTTCATTCTTCCTTAGGTACCTTGATCCATGTAAACAAGAGTTTTAGTAAAGAAAATGATTACCAATATAATTGCAGCAAGAATTATTACTGGATGCTATTTATTCCCACAGACCTTCCATTTTAATTTAAAAGTCTTTAGATATTTAGATACCACTTTACAAATTTACTTTTTAGATGACTTAATAAAACCCCATCCTTTAAGTATGAATACACAGAAGGGCAAAATTGTTTGAGCCCCACAGATGTCCTACACACATGAACGAGTCATCGGTATATCAAGATTTAAAAAAACAGAAGGAATATCAATGACCCCCTTTGAACGGGTAGACTCTTTCTTCCTGTGGAATAGCAGTATTTTAAAAGGAGATTATGCACTCTCGGCAAACCTTCCAGTTATTTCAAAGGTGGAAATAAGAGCTCATAGCATCGAAGGAGATTAGTACATATGTATGTATACCATATGTTATCTCAGCGCTATTATTCTTGGCTTGGAGGTTCTGCTCTTCAGCCAGGCATTATTTGCTACTTATTAAGGTTCGCCCACAATGAAGTTCCAGAAAGTTTTAGATAGAAAATCAAAAAAGAACATCGAAGCAACGGAACGAGCCAAACGACTTCACCGTGGTCCATTATGGACGATGAGACATATGTAGTATGTACTTGGCGACTTTTCGCAGCTTCCGCGTGCCGATTTAGAGAAAATGGCCAAGAGGAGTACAAAACCCCAAAAAATAAAGCTTCCTGCCTGAGCTCAGACCTATTGAACCGTATTGGGTACTGGTAAAAAGGGTTATGAGGGGCACAAAACTGATTGCCAAAATAAATAAAATTACTAACTTAATAGTAAAAGCAAATATTTTTAGAGCAAACTTCCTAAATATGAACGAAATCGGGCCATAAATACTGGATTAATAACTATGTCGACCCGTGCCAAAACCAACATTTTTAGTGGAGTTATTCCTTTTCATGTAGTTAGTATACGTTTTTGTGATACACATATTGCTGAGAGAACGATTTATGTGAGAGATGTTAAGGTAAATGACTGTGATAAATCTAATACCTGATAATCTGATATTTCGGGATTTTCGGAACTATTTCGGGATTTTCGGAAATAAAATTCGCTGAGCTGAGATGAGGTGAGTTGTGGTGATGCGGTGAGTCGAGACGAGTAAGTAAGTATTTAGTCATCCACTAAGTACATTAGTTCCTTAGTGAAAGTGTTATGTATATCTAAAATGCCTGAGCACTTTAGATCAAAATAGTTTCGGTCTGCTACTTTAGTATATAGCAGCTCCTAAATACCTACCTACGTTTTTTTACTTGATTATTTAGACATCTCCAAATACTAAGTATTTAGTTATTTATACTATTTAACTATAAAAGTACTTAAGTATTGGAAATGCAATGAAGTAAAATCGACTTTAGGGAATAGGAAGTATGTAATTTTTTGTTTGTTTGACATTGGGGCGTATTCTTGCTTTCGTACCCATCGAAAATCATGAAATTTCCCTATCATTTTCTATATCAAAATTTCAGATTTTCGATTCTCTTCCCTCATTTGAATTAAATTCCCTTACATTTAGAACAAAAAATAAAATATAAGTTCAATCCGAAACATAAAAAAACACAAGAAATCAAACACATGTCTAACCCGAACAGATAAACTAATAACTTTTTATAACAGTTGAAGCGAGTGATTCATTTTTTATAACTAAAAATAAATAACTTTTGGCGGCTCTTTGATAAGTTTGAACCAAATCGGACTGTGAATACGGGGTTTTCAAACATCTTGACTTCTGCGCCACCTATAGGATTAGCTTATCTTTCGTCTTGCATTGTCATCGGGTTCTGAGCCAACTGTGAATTTTTAAGTCAAGAAGTCCGGAAGTGAGTCAAAAATTGATTGCAAGATTTGCACCTAATTTTCAAAGAAAATTATATGAAGTAATTATATGAAGTAAGTGACACGAACACGTAAAGAAATTTCTGTACGAAAAATAAAGAAAATTCTGGAAAAATTCTGAAAGATATTCTTCATATAGCAGCATTATTTTCGTTGTTTCACCGATTTTCTTCCGAAATTTCGTAAAAGAATGGATGTGTGCGTAATTTATTTCCTTTTAGAAAATTCGGCAAAAATCGAATTAAATCTTAACGAATTCTTTAAAATTTCTTTACAATGCAGAATACTCTGAAAAAATGGTTTGCAGGGTACATACATACAAGGAATGTTAGTCCCGAAAATCCCGAGTTTCTTGGCAATTAAAACCGCGACTTTCGGGATTTGTAATTTGCACTGATGGCAATAATAGGAACGCCTTTTCTTGCCCAGTATTGGCTATATTTCTTTTTTTATTTAATAATTAAATTTTTTTTATCAATGTCTGGCTCATTATATATACATATATATGACACCGTGCGATAGTAAATTTTAAACACAAATATCAATATATTTGCGAAACCATGGGCCAAATATAGTAAAATTGCGTTTTTAGTTTTCACTCTGACGTCAGTAATTCAAAAATGATTTTAAAAAAATCAGAGAAATGTGCTTAGAGAAGACGTATCGGTATCAAATTAAAGAGGAGCTCCTATAGAATTTAAACGGTTTAAAGTTTTTGGTGCAGAAGGACTTGTAAGTTTTGAAAATGTCCTTTTAAAATTTTATCCTTGAAATTTCGCAATATTTGTTTTTGAAAAAATTATATGTTAAGGACTTATATAAACTCGATAACATCCTCAAATTTCGTCCTTCTAACTTTATCAGCTTAAAAAATTACCTATTCGTTTTTGTGAATCCAAAAAATTTTAACTTTTTTCAATTCCCAAGAAAAATTCCCCTTTGCATTTGGTACTAATATTTTTATTTTACATTCCATTGAATTTTTCAAATAATTTTTGGAATTAATCACATCTTTGAAATTACAACGACGATAACGACGTCCCGAAAATCCCGGGATCGGAAAAGCTGAAAAATTAACATACCTAATATATACAGAGCTAGTTAAATAAAAGCTTGTCAAAAAAAAAGATTTTTTCTGGCAAAAAAATTGCTGAATACACCATAAAAAGCCCAATTAGAGTTATATCGCAAGAATTTAAATTGCTTATAAAAAATACTAATGAGCCAAGGACTGCCACTCCAGCATCAGCTGTTGCAAAAGCAGCATGCTTCAGACCTAAATGATAATAATTCGCGTTTTTTAATTTTATAATTTATATATGTATTTTTTATTTAATAGTATTATTCTTCAATAAATCTTTATATGTGTATACATTAAGGTATTTATATCAGTTTTTTCGTTTTTTATTTTATGCTCCCTTATACCAGTTGCACATATACAAACCAATTCGTTTACTGTAATTTTGTACGCTTTTAGCATGAAGTTCGATACGAAAAAAATACTTTAAATAAGAAACAAAAAAAAAAATCGTGCAAAAGATATAAAAGAATGGTACAAAGACTTAATTAAATTTTAGAATACTAACAGAAGGTGTTACCACCAAAGCACAGTTTGATTCGAGACATTAGCAAATTCAGATCAATTAATACTAAGTTTAAAGGTGTTCAAGCACTCCTTGCTTCAAAAAAAAAAAGTGTGAGCATCTTACATCGAGAAGTAAAATAAGCATTTGATGTTTTAGATTACTATATAAAAAAATCTTTTAACTTATTTTGGTAAAAAAATACAAATCATATTTGTTCATTAAATGAATTTCTAACGATTTCGCCTCTGAAATTGCTGCTAATGTTCTCAAACGCATCGCAGTGCTTATTACTGTTTCTTTATATGCATTAAGTTGCCATAGTAGTAAAATACCAATTAAGTCTTTTTAAATTAAACTATCATAACTCCGTTCGTATATGAATAAGCATTTGATTTAAACATCATCACTTTGATTCATTTTTAGCTCATTGAGTGTCGCATTAAAGCGCGACCATTCATCACGTGATGGCTGCGCCAGAAGCTCTGCAACATCGTAAATATACAATTTGCCCGTATCGTCACCAATGGTCACGTGTAAACCTGACGGCGTCCACGATACACGATTAAGCGCTGGCGCACCTTCAACTAAAACTGATGCTGTGGGTACTTCGGTATCCTGATTAAGATTCCACAAATCAAGGCGACCGCTACCATCGACAGCAGCAAAAAGTGCTGGATGAATGGGCGACCATGCAACATCCATGACATAATCGGAGTTGTCTTCAAAAGAATATAGTGGTTTAGTGTCCTGAAATGAAGAAAAGCATTGCAATTGGTTGGTCGAATTCGAAAAATTAATGGCATATGTATTTCTGTTTTACCAACCTTTAGAGACCATAACTTAATTGTCCAGTCGATAGAGGAAGTTAAGAAAAGATGTCCAAAGTCAGGCGACGATTGGTTGTAGTGTGTGGAGATTCCTGTTACTGGACCCAAGTGTTTTTCGAAGACATCATTTACGCCCGTGCGTGAACCATGGCGACAAGCTGGAAAGGTGGAAGTAAAGAATGTGCGATTCATTATGTACAGATTAAAATACAATATAATTTGGAACGAAATAAAATTATGTAAATAGGGGAAAAAAATAAATTTGCTGACATAAAAACAACTTCTAATAGAAATAGTCTAGCATTTGGTGTGAAATATTAAAGAGGTACTTGTCTAATTAACAATCTACCTGAGTACACGTAACCATCCTCACTGCCCACCACCAAATTGTTGATCTCATTCGCCGGGAAAGCCATACCAGTAACTGCAATCGATTTCGATGGACGTTGCTGTTGCAACTCTAATGTATCTTGAGGATGTGACAACATATCCAAGCTCCACGAGCACAACTTGCCATCCGAAGAAATGGAAATAACATTGTGCGCATTCTGTGTGCCAACAACCTGCAAACAATAGACCGGATGTGTGTGCGCAGCGGCGCTCAGTGGTGTGCGCTGCATCGGTGTACGCTTCTGTACGCGATTATCCCATAACACGATTTGTCCCGAATATGTACCACCCAATATTAGATTAGGATTGAATTTGGCAAAGCACGTAGACATCACAGCGCTTTGACAATGGAAAATATCTTCAGGTGTTTGTTTTTTAAATTTGGTATTCCAAACCATAACAACACCATCCGGTTCATTAGGACTCTCCTCGTTGTTGTGATATGAAGCGGCCACCAGTTCGGGGAAATGTGTAGACCAATCCATGCACGTGATGCAACGATTTTTCGACCAACGTTCATCGTAAAAAATACGATTCACCGAGAGGCGAGCATGTGATCGCTCATCGTTGGTGTCTTCATTGTCGCCAGCGCCAATATAGTCTGTATAAATATCAACATTCTCGGAGAGTGCGCGTTCAACAACACGACCTGCGCGCAACACAAACCGTTGGAAGTCCTCGGAAAGTATGATCATCTGTTTTTGCTCCTCCGAAAGTTCCTTAACTAAAGCGGATGGCGGGAGTAGTAAATAATAAAGATATTATTTCATATACCCTATGTAAAGAATTTGTATATTTTCTGCAATTAATTTAACTCACTTTCTTTCTTCTCTTCCTGTTCCTTTTTCTGTTCTAGTGGTGTTATGGCGGGTGCCACATCCTTCACCGTTGGTAAACCGTGCGTCAAGTAGCCAGGGGGTAACTTCGAGGTGAAACCATGATCCAAGTGTGGTAGAGAGCTTTCTTCGTCATCTCCTTGGGCATCAAATGCAAGCACTGTTTAAGGTATAAAACTAACACAGCTAGAGGAACATGACAATCGACAGAACAGGAACAATTCTACGTTTTTGCTTCTTAATTGGCTTTGTTTCGTTTTTATTTTGCATTAGTTTCATTTAGACGCGGCAGTTTATAAAAAAGTATAGTATATTGCATTTTTGGAAAAAATTTTACAATTGGCTTTTCTGCACATTATGAATTAAAGTAATGATTAATAATGTTATTATTTTTTGATTGCAATGCGTGCGGAAAATGCTGTGTGAGGGCAATGAACGATTTTTTAGTGCGGTTGGTGAGTCTATGCGTGATAAACATACATACATACATATTTACATTAATATTTTCAATATATAGCTTTTTTTGTAAAGCTACTGAATTTTTAATAATTTAACAGTACGAGAATAACATTCTTTTTGATACAATATACCGCTTTGATTCAAAATTCTGCTTTCCAATTCGTGACGGATGCAGCTTTACCTCGCAGCATGTGTGTAATACAAAAATATTTGGCACTCACATTTTTGCAAAGTGTTTCGCCGAGCCATTCATCTAATGTGTGGTGTGCATCTTCAACTTATCATCAAAACATTATTACAATAATGTTTCAAATTGAAATAAATAAAATTGAATTGAATGGAGGAAGCGCCTGTGAATGGTAGATAAGTTGTTTCGTGATTGAAGTACGCTCGAAGGTGTGTCAGTGTTTGCCAAGGATCCACTGATTAGGAATTTTGGGCTTATCTATCTGAATCTATGGTACTCCGATTTTCGTGAAATCCACGAAAATGTGATTACTGCATTCTAACAGCGCTCTTACGTGCTACTTTTTAGTATCTACTCGTATGTACCATATATTAGAAAGTATCAGAAAAGTAGCATTTATGTACATATGCAAATACATATCAAAATGCAAGCTGTGTGAATACGAGTGCCATATAGCACAGGTACAACATCCAAGACTCTATACAGCAGGATCTATCCTTTTGTGTAAGGTCGTAAATGGGCTGATACTATTTCCCAGAAATACTTAAGCAGCTCAGGTTCATCGGCATCAGAGTTGATCTTCGATCGAGATGACTACTAGATGTTACGCAATCTAACCAGAACTATATCGCATATGGACCGTACAACAGAATAGCAAGCTTAGTCAATCGATATGCGACAAATGTTAATTTCTTTTTTCTTATTTATCAGCAAAGTGTTTAACATTGGCTTTTTTCCTTTAAGACACTCCTTCTAGGCTTCATCTCTAGAAGTTTGAAGCACAAACGTATTATTAAGAGAATTCGTGTTTTTTTTCGGCCTACTCAATAGTCTTTGAGTAAAAATTTTTGGACAACCTAGGTTTGTACCTACAAGTACGTGATAGATTTATACCAGGCCAAGGACTGTCACTTCAACTCTGAAACACCCGCTAACATGATTGACCGCGAAAATAATTTTAAGCGTCTGTATTCGCCGTCAACTAGGTTTACTGGTCTTTTCCGCGGTCAGCTCTAACCGCCAAAATAAAACAAGCGAAATTTTTTTAAAAAGTTTCTTTTTGATGCAGAAATGCATATAGAGCCTCCAAGAATATTTCTGCATCAAAACGAAAATTTTGAAAAAAAAAATGTCGCTTATGTTATTTTGGCGGTTGGGGCTCGATATATTGATTGTTTCGTATGTTTTAAAATTTTTTTATATCGCACGATGTTATTGGATTTCGTTTGTTTTTAGTGTATGATTTTACTTTTTTTCGATTAAAAACAACCGTAATATCTGGATATGGCTTTTTCGGCTATAGAGGATTTTTTTGTAAGCATTTTAGCTTTTTCATTATACATAAAACTCGTTAAGACTCAAAGGGATGAAAAAAACATAAGACAAAATTTTATCTACAATCTTTCAATGACTGAAGTCTGCCCTATAAACATTTTGCTACCCGAATAAAGGCGGATTCATCGTTGTAGTCCTAGACTTTTCTTCCATGTGGTTGTAGTTGTATTTCTCTCTGTGAGAGAGTCATGAAACACTTTTCAGAATTTTAAGTGGATCAGGGCAAAATGGATAAAAAAATAGTTAAAGCTCCACCAGCCAGCGACGGAGCGCTCTTCCATACCTGAAGTCTGTATCAACATACGAAATTGCTGTTGATAGATATATAGAGAACCAACGACAACGTCACCGTCATACGGTGGTGAGTTTTCGTTAACACGAGAATTACATTAGATACATACAGTATCGGTCATATCTATAGCACGCCATTTCAAAGTGATAATGTGTGCCACTTATGTTTATTTATTTATTTTTAAGAATTTTCAATTAAAATTTAGTTCACTCTCGGACAAACCCCATTTATACCCAAGTTCAACAATTTGTAGAATACTACAAAAAAGTGTAACAAATTTTCACCTAAATTTCAAACTTTTTCTCGGAAGGGATAGAATTTTTTTGAGTACACAGTTTTTTAGCCCCTGCAATTTTAGTATGATAATGTGCAAATTTCAGGTGGCTACGAATTACCGTTAATTTTTTAGATTTTTTTTTGTCGCATTGGCTTCCATATAATGAATAAATTCAATTTATTTGTACATGGAAGAAAACCGCAACATCCTTGGCGAAAAAAATTCTAAAAAATCAGCGGTAACTTTTAGCCACTTGAAACTTGCACATTGTCAGACTAAAATTGATTGGGCTATAAAACTGTGTATTCAGAAAAATTCAAACACTTCCGAGAAAAAAGTTTGAAATTTAGGTGAAAATTTGTTGCACTTTTTTGTAGGGTTCTATAAGTTTTTAAACTTGGGTTTATGTGGGTTTTGTTAGAGAAAGAACTGCATTTTAATTGAAAATTCTTAAAAATAAATAAATAAACATAAGTGGCACACAATATCACTTTGAAATGGCGTGCTATAGATATGACCGATACTGTAGGTCGTGACAGCTGACACGGTCTACGGTCCAAACTATCTGTGTGCCTTTGCACGCCAATGCTTTTATAGCAAACTTTTCAATTGCAGAAGTGCTCTCGGAGGTTTAACATAGCCAGGGGTCTATTTCATAAAAGAGATAGTGGCAAATTCGTCACGACAAGCATTTTCCGTATTGTCAGTGACAACTCGGCAGTTTTGTGTTTTGTTTCATAAAAATAAATGCCACCATCGTTTCGATTTCATGACACACTCCATTGAAGAAGTGACAAAATTGTCGTTCGTCAGTTTTAAAATTGTCGCCAGTCGTACGAATTTTTGTATGTAATAATTGTATTTGCATTATTTTAGTTTCTAGAAATATTCAAATCAAGGTGAATTCGCCTTGATTCAAATTACTGAAAAGTAATCAAATGTGCGCAATTAACATATACATAAACAAATTTACAAAATACTCCTGTGAAAATTTTCCGACGGAGCTATGTATTTAGTTTTGTCGCAGTTGTAGCGACAATTTCCTCGGAGTGACATTTGCCAGACAATTGTCGGCAATATTCCAGTATCATCATAAAAGTCGACAATAGTCGTACCTGTCACTTTTATGAAATAGGCCCCTAGCGAATGGCGACCGCCATTACAAAACTCTTTTACACTCTTTGAATGTTGTTTGGACCAGGGACTGAACCTTAGCCCTACCAGATGGTAGTATATACGCATCTCTTATCACTCGGCTCCAGTGCTTTGTCTTCTTTCTACTGCGACTGCAGTCAAATGTCAAATGATGGTGGTAAAGGCTTAGCGTGCTGGTTAAATGAGGGTTAACGCAAGAGAAATAGCAGGTATATATAAGCCTCGAAATACAAGTGTGTTTTGAAAAATAATATATGTATGTATGTATGGAATGTAATAATAATATAAATGGATGATAAATGCAACAATGGACGAAGTTATACTTTATACATGTTCTATATATATATGGTATTTTTATACAAGTATGCGATAATTTATGTATTGAAGAACTTTTTTCTGACATTTAGCGGTTTGGCAAGATATCGATCGGAACAGGTCGTATTGTCGTGATGTCGCGAAATTTTAACGGTAAAAAGTATTTTACCTGAACCACAATTTACACTGCGTTTCATAATTATAAGACCGCCACATATAAACAAGTTTAGACTATTTTTATATTATTTACTTTCATTTATTTTATTATAAAAATATAGTTCATTAAATACCATACAAATCACATTTCCAACTTTGTGCCAAAATTATAAAAATCCAGCGAATTTTCACCAAATCTTCATTTGGCTACAACGGTGTCACTCAGTTTCTTCCATAGAAAGTAGGTATGTTAGAAAATTTTTTTTTATATGGAAGAAAATGAATAACACCGTCAACAAAAAATTAAACTCGCACTTTATTGTGCTAAAATTGCATGGGCTAAAAAGTGCATACACAAAACTTTTCCAAAAATTCTTTATAATTTTTGCACAAAATTTTAAATGTCGATTTGTATGGTGTTTGTTATAGGTTCATTCTATATTTATATAAGAAAATAATTGAAATTAAATAATATAAAAATATATAGTTAAAACTTGTTAATATGTGGCAGTCTTATAATTATGTCACGCAGTGTATTTTTAAACAAGTTGAAAATTACGAAATTACTGTGACAGCTTCTAAAATGCGCAGTTTCATTGCCTATGCGTAGTATATTTACTACCTCAGTTAAAAATCAATTCTCAATAGACAAAATTCTTTTCCACTTTTTTTTTAAATTTAAGAATCGCCTGTGAACTTAAGTAAACCGTAGGACTATTTATTTAAACATAAAACATTAGAAAATATACATATTAGCGAAATTAGCTTAAGCTGTTTTGCTTTTGAAAACTAATCAAAAAATATAAATTTGTCTTACAAAAATTTTCATTCGATTGGAAAATTTCGTGGACTTTTGCAGATAAAGCGCTCCACTTTATCATCTTTCAATAATCAATTGACCCAAAATTGCAGTCATTTAGAAAAAAAAACAAATGAAAATACACATCTTAGTTATTTTGCAATTATGTATGTGTGTTAGGTGTTATCAGTTATCAGGGTGAGTTTTGGGGTGTAAGATTTTAGACAAATATGCAATGAGGTTAGTTACACATTATATGCAGATTATTTTTTGTTTTGTTTTTTTTTGTGAATTTTATCATTTCGATTTTGAGATGCTGTAAAAGATTTAATTTTTTTTCACTCTCAAAGGTGTATAGTGTAATATGCTTACATGAAAATGAAAAAAAACACAACTATACACAGCAAGTCCTTGCCGTTTGTTTACACATTTGGTTATATAATCAATATTGTACACAAGAGCCAATTAAAAATAACTGTAAAAGTGTGTGTTTGAGGATTCATAAAAGAATTAATTATTTATTTATAACATTTATTTAAAGTACATTATTCATTTCACTTATCATATTCACGTTTCTCCACCCAATTTATATTTCAAATAACTGTATTATATGTATATCCTAAAATTATTTCGGTATGACATTAAGAAATATAGTATGTATGTATACATTTGTATTTGCATGTAAATTATGCGGCAGTGCTCATCCTGTTTCTGGGTTGGTGGAAAGTGGAAGAAAAACCAAAGTAAGCGTTTGAAGGGAAAATGCTGTGTTTAAACATTTTGCTTTAAAAAATAGATGTGAGGTGAAGCGCAAAAATATGTATATATATAAAGAATGAAGGTATTTAGTATATCTGTTAAAAGCATGAAGGCGTTTTTGTGTATTCACAGCACCCGATGAAGGAAAAATGAGAAAAGAATTAGATAAGGCTTGCTCTTTTAAAAAGCAATCGATGACTTGGAAATGCTAGTTAGTCAGAGTGATAACATATTCGTAGAATTCACGTTAAATCGGACTACAATGGATTCGGGAAACTGCTCCTTATATGAATGTTTATTGACTAATCTATATACGTAATACGCGAAGGGAGTTTTTGTCCAGGTCATTAGAACTGCACCGTTCGTTCGATTTTCAAAAGTGAGGTGATTAAAGAAGATAATGTGCAATAAGGTTTTACTTTTTCGAAAAGAGTTGCCCCCATTTCAAAAATTAAATGCAAATTAAATAAGATAAAAAAAAATTAAAGTAAAATATGGCTATCAACGGAAATCGTTTTGAAAAGGTTTTATTTTTTAGTACACGTAAGAGGGTTGTCAACTGTTTAAAAAATCAAACTCAATTGCTATTAGGGAAACTAGATATGTGAAATATTCATCACAGTATAGGTGTGTCCGACGGTTTAAAAAGGTTTTAGTTTGGACATATTTTGAAGAGCGTTACAACCACACAATGAAGTACTAAAATCTATCAAAGGATAGAGTAGTAAGAAACCTTTTGATTAAAGACAGAATATTTTTCAACCGTTTAAAGACCCCGTTTACCCGTTAAAAATGTTTAATTCAATTTATTATAGTTAAGTAAATTATTAAAATATTGGGATCGAAATGGGTTTGTAAATGATTTATTACTGAACTATATTTAGGCGGTTGGCTTATGTTTACAAAATCGAATCCAATTTAAATTATTAATTAATTGAAGTATGTATCACAATGTCAGATGAAGGAGATATTTGAGAAGCTTATGCAGAAGGTACATATATCAAATAGATATTAAATATGTATGTCAAACAAGAGAGTGTTCAGAAATCTTTAGTTTCTACTAGGGAAGTACGATTAATCGATTAATTGATTCTTTAATTAATCATAATCCTGGTTAAACAAAAAAACGTGATTAATGAGATTCTGATTTACCAGAACCTTAGTAATTACGGTTTACTCATAAAAAATTAATTTAAACCTGAGTAGCTTTGCTCATTTCTTTAGATTTTGCTTTCAAAGTAAATGAATTGTTTTTATAATATAAATAATACAACTTTTTGCGTTTTAACAAAAATAAAACGCCAAAACGAGCACCTTACTTTGTTGCTTATGAAAAAAATAAAAAATAAATAAAATATAGCAGCAATTATTCAGGTCTCTGATTAATCAGCTTGTGACTAATCAGTTTTCTGATTAATAAAATTTATTAGGTTCATCCTAATTAAGATGTAATTAATCGAGAAATTAATCACTCTGATTAATCAAAAATTATTATTATTTTATTAATTAATTAATCAGGTTTCCATTAAACAGCTTGTTCCTTTAATTGATTAATCGCACATCCTTAGTTTTGACACTAGGAATATTTTTGGGGATGTCTGAAGAGGTTTGCCACCCGTTTAAAAAGTTGTATTCAAATAATTTTTTAAGTTAGATGAATTACTAAAATATAGATATCAATCGAATAAGGGCTGGTAAAGGCTTTATTTCTGATCTTTATTTGGGGGGTTTGCCACGTGTTTGAAAAATCAAATTTTACTTAATTCTTTACTTAATTGAAATATATACGTAATTTAAGATTGATTTGAGATAGTGTTAAACTACTTTATAAGTGGATTTCCACCTGTTTGTAAGTTAACTTTTGCACAAGCTTTATGAAGTATTAATATATGAGCGTCAAAAAGAGATTTATGAAAGCTTTAGTTTGAAAATATCTTTCATTAAGCTGGCCACCTCTTCCAAAAGTCATATCGATCTAACTAAGTATATATGTATATTATACGAGAATGCATTATTTGTGATAGTCATTAGATTTGCACCGTTATTTTCGAAAATTGGAACTTGTTTAAAAGTACACGGTGATGATTTGAAATTTGATGAAATTAGAGGGGGTATACTATGCGATAGCTCTCTTTACTGAGAATATAAAAATGGCACTCGGATCGCTTATAACTCTGACTAACATTTGGTGCAGTTTTTATGTTATATTCGGCATTTTAATGCCATGCGGGTTCACTAGGGCTGTGAATTTATTTATTTCAAAGCATAGTTTATTCTTAGCTAAGTACCTCTAATCATCGAATAAATCAAGTATTAACATATAAACGATCAAGTATTACTCTGAGCAAAAACCTTGTCTGGTACAAATGCATTTAAAGTTTGAGCGTGAAAATCTCAAAACTAAATCATTCTGATGAATCATCAAAGACGCATGCATACTAGCCTCCTGTGATGGGTTGACACCGATCTTCTTCGTCTCCTTCATTCGCAACTGAACAATTTAAATAACGCATATTGTCCTCACCAATCCAAAAAATCCCTAAAGCATATTGGATATGTTGTAGCAAAAGTAAATAACTTCAACGTTACAAATGATATCTTTCGAGATGTTTTAAAGATTCTAATAAGTCTCGTATCTCTAGGAAAACACTTTTTAATTTAATAAGGAGTAATAAAAAAAAAAAAAAAACATTTCTAAACGGCTTAAATTTGGGAGTCTTACGTTAATAACGGCATCGCGTATGTATGTATGTAAGTAGTATATACAAAAACAAATGGTGCAGAAGCAAAGCGTGTAAATTTAGTTTATGTATGAATAATATAAACTAAAAACTGGTAAAGCTATCTTTTGCATAATCACTTTCTATAAAACGTTTCATTTTCCTTTTCATCAACTCTCCATTCGTTCAAAGTAATTTCCTAAGCTCTCATGCTTTACTCCCGTCATGTGTTTTATTTACCGTGTTTTTTTTTTGTTAGTTCGTAAATACAAAAGTTAATATGTAGATATGCGCTGCATGAATATTATTTATTAATAATAATGAGAGAATATGGCTGTGTTCAGAAATGTATTTTGTTTCGAAACTATAATGATGGAAATGCCATATTTGCGCAATTAAATTCGAATTCGGCATTTAACCGTGGTTGCGCATATTGGACATTTTCATCAATTATAGTTAAGTAATAAAAGAGACTGATGCTTTGGCTCGATGCAGTTCTGAACACAGGGTTTATTTGTTGTAGGTAAATGACAGATACATACATATACAGAATGCAGCTTATGTGAAAGTAGAAAAGATGGTCTAGGATTGTTTTGGGTCAGGACATAAAGGTTACATACAGATCAAGGATTACACATTTTTACAAATATTTCTTAAAAGCAGTTAGCATAATAGTATATGGTAAGCCTTTCGTTTTTTTGTTGCAATTCAGCCACCTTAAACTTTATACGAAACTTCGCGAAAACGGACAACTACAAATCCAAGGCATTATTTGTTTTATGTATATAAAACCGTATTTTGTTGGAATAGAGTTAAAAAAAAAATAATTATACTTTTTTTGTTTTTGTAGATAATTTTTTTACGTTCCTATTTTGCTTCATGTCGATTCCGCTACTGTCATAAAATATTGGAGCAGATGTTACCTACCTGTGAACTCATCCTCCCACTCTAAACCCGGATTTAGATTGTATTCGTCTTGAAAAATATACAGAATAAAGATGATTGAAGTAAATTTTTGATATTTTTCACTTGGTTTTTAAAGGATTTTATAGAAAATTTCATTAAGTCCAAATGCAAATTAAATAAATTATGATTTTCCCAAATTCATAGGAGACACAACCGATACAAGTTTTTTTTTTTTAATTGTGAAAAATATATATGCATGTTTGTTATATGATGGCTTAAAGCATTCCAATAAATGCTTTGAAGTAAACAGAACGGGATAATTGTCCGCTAGTTAATAAAATGTCTTTTACTTATTTCGGGAGTATTTCTTTTTTGTTTGAATATTTAATTTAAAAATATGTATGGAGATTACGAAGCTAGCATGCATTTTTGAAAAATAAAATTTACTATATACACCTGTTATTAAATGCACACAAACATAATGAATAATCATCGCCCTTCCAGCAAATGTTAACATATTTGTTTGAAATGAAGATATTTGTATGATTGTAGGTCGAGGAAAAAAAATCTACAATAAGGAACTAAAAAACTGAACTTGCCGTAATATTTATTATATGTGAAATTATCATTATGTTACACACATATACTTATGTATGATTTATTTTTGAAACTGAATGTATTATTGTTCCGATTACTAACTGAAATATATAAAAATTTCAATGTCTACTAGGCTACTTTTTTAACTCATAAACAGCGAATATCTCGTCGATTTACCAAATCGAAATAATAAAATGGGTGGAGAAAAAATTATAATGTGAATCGATTATACAGGCGAAACTTAAAAATAAGTATGTTTGTCTTAATTGGAGAAGACGACGCCGCAAGCGGCTTTTCCATTTGCACAAAGGAGTAAAAAAAAAGAAACGAAACCAAAATTATTCGGCTACAACATCTACGACTTAAGTACATAAGTATGTATTCACTTTAAAGGAAGAAAATCACTTTGTTACATGAAAGAAAGATTTATGCTATTTTAATTAGATATAGATATCAGTATGTATATATGAAAGTACAAAAGAAAAAAATCTAAAATACTATACACTCGAAAAACACACAGATATTTATACATTCTTAAACATATATTTTTATTAAAAAAAAGAGGTATAACTCACCATAATAATCCGTGGCATGAGCTAAAATCAAAATCAAAAAAAGATAAAAAACAATATTAGCCACATAGTTTACGATAGTTATAAATGTATAATAGAAAAACTTAAATTATAAAATTATATAAGTATATAAAGCCGCTGAAAATTCGAAATATAAAATATAAATAGCTTCAAACATGATAACTTAAGAAAAGGAGTTGCGTGGGAGTTTTCAAAGATAAAAAAAGTGAGAGGTAGCTGGCCATTGTTGCACGTGCACTCACTACGAAGTACATATGTATATAAATAGCCAATTAGTGCATATGAGAAATAAAAAAAATTTAAAGCAATTTCGCAAATGAATTTTTATAAAGTTCTAAAATGTTCTTTTAATTTTGGTGTTGCTGAAATAATAAATAGCAGTACCTTTGCGTGGTCTCCACCAATCCTCCATGTATCCTGATAGAGGTGAGGAGTGGCAAGAAAGAACTGTATTTGTTATTTTATTTCATTATGATTTTCTTGTTAAGATCGATTTTTTCATACAAGTAATTTGTGGGGAGGAGGGAAATCAATATTTACTGGACAATTAGCCGAACGTGAATGTGATTATGCGTGTATGTAAGTATGTGACACAGCATTGCTCGAAATTTTAAGCACATACAGTGTTTTTATATCGAATAATGCGTTTCATAGCAATATATATGCGTACAAAATACAATATAATGAATATTGAGTATGCAAAACATGCACGCATTCAAATTTTTATGCATTTATGTATGTATGTGTTTCAATATATTTTTTTGTAATGAAATGACATATTATATATATGTAGTATAGTAGGTACCGCATTGGCAAATACTAGCATTTATTTTATGTAGTCGGATGAAGCTTGTCCAAAGCAAGTGTTTGGAAGGCTACAAAAGAGTTTATTTCCGCTGAATAAAGGACATTTTTTTATTATGTACTCTGTATGTACATGCTACATTCATCATTTTTTAGATTTTTCTATAAAAACGCTAATACACAAGTTCTTGGAAATAAAATCTTTCGATTTCTTACAATAATTGCCGCTTAACAGTTTGTTATAGTTTTAAGAATTGCAGGCATTAATTTTTATCAGCATGATGATATCGAATACAATAAAAACATCAACTAATCGAATACAACCAATGCTAAGTAATATGTTTATAGTACCCACCATCACGTTCGTGTCCACCGCTGCTAGTCGTTTGTGTTTGCTTTGAGTAGACTAGCGTTTCTTTCGGTGGAATGTTGGTTGCCTGTACGTTATACACGCTCAAGTTTAAGGGCTGCTTTTTGGGACCACTTGTAGATAAATATTAAAAATTATGTAAAATTAGTTATTAAGGTTTATCCGGTATTTTAATGCTTAATGAGACACTAACCCAACGCCATTCATATTCGCTTGTAAGCTTGCATCTGGTGTTTGAGTATTGGAGTTGTCCGATGTCAGCGAGTTTACCGAAGACAAGGAAGATAATACCTCTGACACGGGCGCAACACCCAGCGAAGATAACATCTCATCCAAATCTCTAAAGGGGATATTATTTGTATAAACATATTTCATTCCAAAAATCCTCTCGAACTAATTTCACTTACTTCCTCTGATCTTTGTCGATGCCAACGCCTCCACCTATACGTCCAGCAGCCTCTTCCATATCTTTCATTTCCTTTTCACGCCTACGCCGATCTTTTTCCTCGCGAAGCGCTGCCAACTTGGCTTTCTTACGTTCCAGCTCAGCTTTGCGATCCATGCTGAAGTTGGTTGTTTTGATGTCTTTGTATTAACTGCAGCGGTTTTTATTTACTCGTTTTGGCCTGCTGAGCAATGAAAGAGAAATAATTAAAATGCTTGCATGGAATAGGGAAATGCAAACAAGGTTTCAGTGGTGATGATGTCATTATAAAGCAGTTAATGCCAATTAGACTATAACGCATTTCTATTAACTTAAAATGAAAATTTACAAATTCAGACTAAATATGTAGGTAGTAATCTGCGTACAATGAATACAAACTAGAAATGTTAGTTTTTATTTTTTCTTCGGGCAAGGTTAGATAAATCACCGAGGAACGACGATTGGAAGAAAATCAATAAATTCAAACCCTTGCTACTACGCTTTTAATTCATTTATTAGCTATTTAAACTTGATTTTCTTTTTTACGAATAGTGAAATATACCTTTGCGCAACACTTTTGTTGAATTTTTATTAAAAATACAATTCCTTAAGTACATAAATTATTTTTTACAGAACAGTTCGCAGGCTTTCTCCGTCTGAAAAATTACTCGCAAATGTGGTAGGATTGGGTAAAAAATATCGATATATCAAAATATCGATATTTTTCTAGAAAATAACCTGCGTTCAGACAAGGCAACTCGTGTTGCTTATTATCGGCGATATCTCTTTTGCTGTTGCCCGTCGCATTCACACACAGCAATATATTTCGGCAACTATCTTGCAAGCTCTTTTCTGTATTTCGAATGAGTAATTGAAAGATGTGCTAATAGTGTTATTATATTTATCGTTTAGCAATAAGTTTTCTTAAAACTAAACGAAAAGAAAAAAATATCTTTTTAAAACAGGAGAAACTAAAAATTTGGGAAGCTGAAAGTAAAAGAAAAAAGATGAATCAAAAAAATTTCCAAACGTTAAATAAAATAAAAAATATGAATTTTTTCGGCGATAAAACTTGAAAAAAATTTTATTAAAAAGAATTTCTTGCCGATGATTGAACTCGGATCTCCTGAATAGCACGAAAGTGCTCTGCTCACTGGGCCATTGCTACTATTACAGCAACGTTATCGAAATTGAAATTTATTGAAAACAAACAAAAAATTTCAAAATCATTCGTTAAAAAGTTAGGTAAAGGTTTTTGTTTACTTAACTTTAATGTTCATTAAATGCCGTTAACGAATCATTAACTGACTCTGAGAGGTAATTTTTTCAAATCGTTACTGAGGGATACCTTAAGTAATCATTAAACGACTCTGAGTGCGGCAGTCAGGGCCGGTTACTCAATGTCTGGTTACCACTAATCTCCGGTTAAACATAGGTACCGACTCCCTGTTATATGCATGGAGTCGAATACGTCGATAACGATGTTTAACCGCAGATTAGCGTTAACCAGACATTGAGTAACCGACCTTCAAAATGGTTATTTTAAATATTTTGATTGTTTATAAAACTTAAAATTACATTATTAAAATAAAAATAATTAAATAAGTTACAGGAACACGTCACATTTGTTATCAAAATGACCCAAGTTTTTTATAAAAAGTAAAATTACATTAATAAAATTAACTTAAAGGTGAGTGACACAAAAGCACACAGTTCCGGAGATTTGCCCATATATTTGCAATAAATTTTTAAGAAACTTCCGCGAGATATTTGAAAACCCTGCATGTTTAGCCCAATATGGCTCCTATTAGGGATGTATATTACTTATATGGAAGGAAATGGCTCCACAAAAATTTTTTTTGGTTAATTTCATTTGCAAAAACATACATTAAAAACCTATTGGGTCGTATTCATAGTAAAAATTAAGTTCATACCTAAAGCTAGTTGCGGCTTTTGGACATAATTTTTAGTGGGTTATCTTAACCCAATAATAACTTAACTTCGACTTTGAAAGCCCTATTTTTATTGAGAACAATCGATGTTAGCCAAGAATGATAGAATACAAGATTGCGTCGATTGCAGCAGAATTCGTGAGAGTTGTTTTGGCATGACGTCACCGTAGAGTTGATAACTGAGAGCGGCAAATAAAACTGCTGTCTAGTGATGTGCTGAATTGTCGGTACCCAATACTTAAAAAAGGTTTCGGTACCCAATACTTCCTTATCGGTACCCGACACTGATTCCTAACATTAAATCTTCGCCATTATATGCATTTTCAAGAAAAAACTTTCAATACTAATTTATGTGATATCGGCTAAACCACGTGAACTTATCGCAACAGAGATATATTATTTTATCAGTTTTGACCTTAGTCGGACCAAGGTTCAAGAAAAATACTTTGACGGATGAAGCAGCCTTTCAGGGGGGAGATTCTGTAACCAGTTAACGACAAGTTTCGGATCGATATCTCACTTGTTGACGTAAAAATATTTCATACGTTAACAAAACCGATACCGATACGAAAATTGTCGCTAACTGGTTACAGAATCTGCCCCAGGCCTACAAAAATGATATCGTCCTATTTAGCTGGAACAAAAATGCTTCAATCAAGTAAGAGTTTCTCTGTATTATGGCCTCGAACCGACATCTCTCATTTGCATCAGTGTTAAAAGCTCTATTGGCTCCTACATTCGGGTTTTGATAGGCGTTTTTTCCATATTTTTGGCCTATGTGCGCTTTTATTCGAAACCTAAATGTTTCGGTACCGAGTATCGAGAGTATTGGATACTTAAAAGTATTGACTCAGCACATCACTACTGCTGCCAACTCGACTGTGACGTCAGCAAAACAGCTGATTCTGTCAAATTCACTGAGAGCCTATTAGCGGTATTGCCATCGGCGCCACCTTCTGTATTCTCTCCACCGTGATTGTTAGCAAACATCAATCTTTCTCCACTTCTAGTGTGAAGTTGGCAGCGTTTCCGAAATTTCTAGCAGTCAAAAAATTACATCAAAGAAGGTATAGAGGTGTTCACCGAATTTAGCAAGTGGCCCGGCACTCTGGCAAAAGAGAAGATTAACGGTGCAACGATTTTGCGATTGGTCGATGGGCGGTTTCGCAAAAACATCCACGATTTGCCGGATTTAATCGCTTACAAAATTTGGAAAATATGCTATTTCACACCCTAGTACATAATAACTAATATTTTAATAGAAAACAGCTCAATTTTTCCTTTTATATTAAAATCACCCTTATCATGAGTTTCATTTTCCCTGAACCGGTTCACTTTTCACTTTTGGTTTCCATGGTTTTACTATGGGCGGATGACAAATTTTCGGGTGAATTTTTTTTCAGGCGAAGCTCAGGATAAGGCAGAATATCATTAATGTTGCCGCCACGAAGTTATTGCGCAAATGTAGGTGTCAAAGTACCAAATTGCTGGCAATATTTATCAAGATTAAAGCTCTGATACTTATTGATTGCCAAGAGCAATATGCGGTTGACAAAATTTTGCCGATAACATTATTAATATAAAAACTTTTGCCTGTGGAGACAGAAAGTTAAGGATGGCTCACAATTTTTATTTTTTTTTCAAAATGAGGTGTTTTTCCACAGACTATCGATAGTTTCAGAAAAAAAAATATTGCCCTCTATCGATAGTCCCGACCGCCGAATCGGTTAGGGACAAAAATGCAACACTGAATAAACGAATGTCAGCTTAAAAGAAATCTACTCAAAACAGCAGTTTTCTAATTGGAAGACAAAGGCTGATTCGACAATCAAAGCCAACTTCATGCTTATCAGAATTTTGTGGACATGACATGCGTGGACTGTGGAACGCCCAGTTAAGTGGATGGTGTTGATGCCGAACTTAAAATACTTTTGCCCGTATTAGTTATGTTGACGCCGTCGTGAAAAAACGTTTGGTTGACGCGGTGTTTTAAAAAGTTCAGAAAAAGCAAAAAAAGTGGTTGGATGAGCAGTATAAAAAGAAAAAAATAAGTGTATAAAGAACACAAAATACTAAAATAATCCGCTTACGGGCGAAACTACAACATTTTAAATGTAATTACAGCACAAATCCAAAGTTATATTTATTTTTGAATTAACGTATTATAATAAAACTATATAAATTGCATGACGGAAGTGAATTTGCAAAGTCTAATAAGAAAATATAAGAATTTTTAATTGGATAAAAACAGAGTTCTCTTATTCGAGTGTTACACCACCACCACAACAGCAGCAAAAACAGTAGCAAAAGCAGCAGCAACCACCGTCGCCATCGCCGACGTCGTGCCTTGACGTGCAGCGCAAAGTCGCTGCTGCGACTGCACGGTTTTTTCGTTTACTGCATGTGCCTTAAAAACGGTCAAGATAGGTATTATTTTTATTGCTAAAGGAGAAGGTGTGCACTTTCAATCCAAGTTCAGAAAAATGCTATATTAATGAGTATCTACACAGATGGATAACTTAAGAGTTTGACTGCAAAATTTGTGCTTATGTATGCATATTGCCACGAAATAGTATATGCATATGTATACACGTTGGCTAGTAACTTCACGTATGTATGCATATGGAGTCTCAGCAGTTTTTCGACTTGGAATTCATAGTTCCTCTATTTTTTATTTTTACTGTGGCCAACTACTATTCTACTGCTTTTACTTGCGCAGACGTCGGCGCTGCTGCTACTGCCACTTGTGTTTTTGCTGTCCTCTGCGCTAGCAAGCATGTTGTTTTTGTTGCTGCCATTCATTGATTTTTCAACGTATCGTACCCTGATGGCAGCGGGCACACTGAAGAAACTTTCATAATAACAAAAAAAAAAAATTACGTTGAGAATACAAAGAACATAAAATGCAAACTTCAATTTGAGCACAAAGAATTTATGAATATTTTCTTATTAGACAAGGGCATTTGAAAAATACATACGTATGTATTTGTACATATAAAATTCTAAAATCCCTTATTTTTTAAACGTACAAACTTTATGTTTGCTTTTGTGCAGGTGTGCAGATGTACGACAGCTAAGTTAAGTGCTTGTGTTTCATTAGCCGCAAAAGTGCACAGTGCTTTTATTCCAAAGATTCTCAGTTTAAGGTTACGCACTGTGACTGAGAAAGCGTAGAATACAAAATTGTGTACCTAATATATTGCAATTTATTGTTGATCATGATTATTTCAGAAAAACTTTAAAAATCTCATTTGTTGTGTTTGTTGGGACGAAGTGTATAAAAAAATTAAAAAAACACAATTTTATGCAAAAAACGAAATGATGTTAAGTAATTTCACACTTTTGCCCCTCATGAAAACAACGTGCACACCTTTTGGCTTTTTAACATACAGTTTCGGCTTGTGTGTCACTTTTATATAGCACACGCGTAGATAAACCGATCTACAAATCTATATACACTCTCAAGTGAGCACACATGCATACATAAATATGTACATATGTACATATAAACATATACATATACGAAAGTTATAAAAGCCTGTTGTTTTTGTTGCAGCAACACTACTACCATTTAGTTAATTGCAATGAGAGTAGATAATAAAATTTAGAGAAAAATATTTATAATGGTGTGTCAAATACACTTTGTGAGAACACTTCCACTGATTTCAGTGCCAGTAAAAAGTTAGTAGATACATTTACTGTTTAAAGACTGATATCTCAAT